GGATTGGATAGGACCCAATTGCCTTAGTAGTTTTACATGACTGCTAATTCTATTGATTTCCAGGAGTGACGCCAGTTTACATGACAAGAGAATCAGATCAGTGGTCCCCATCAGTTTTTACCACCCTCAGTTCAATTGGCATATGACACATCTGCCAAGCTGTACATACAGCCCCTACAAATGCATTCGTTCTTCCACCAACTTGCAAAGCAATTTTTTTTCCATTTTCCACATGTCTTTGCTTCCTATTGCTGAAACCCAGTGAGACCCCTAACATGTTTCAGGTGACTACAAGTTTGCCCTTTGGGGCCAGTTTCAATGCCAAAGCAAAGAGGGAGCATCAATGATATATCCAAGAAGCAGCAGCAGCCATTTTGTTGAGCACAGAGGCCTGAGAATTTTGAAATCTGCCCTGTGAATTTTCGGCATTTTGGAGTTTTGTTCAGAAGGAAGGTCACCGCTTTTTGGAAAACGAGCATCTTTTGCCTGGCCCCATCATATTGTCATGCTAAGCCACTTTCCATCCTCCCTTCACATGTGCTTAATGACCCATAGAAAATTGGTAGTGTTTAAACATTAAAGAGCCTTTTTAAATATTAAACAGCAAAGTTCACCTGATTGTTAAAAGTCATATCTGCAGTGGGAATGGAAGCAAGTTTCTGCTGTCCAGCCCTAGACTTCTCTCCAGCTTGTGTTACTGAATCTGGGGGGGCACCTTGCAGCAAGACACTGGCCAGTAGCTTAACACTCAGAAGTGCCAGGTAAATGCAAGCCCTGGTGTCAAAACAGTTTTCTCTTTAGCAATGAGACATGCTTCTCACCAGATAACCATTCTCATTTTTAATCTATTTTGCATTATTGAATGCTACTGATCAGTGTCCTTTAACTTATGCTAATGATCAGCTTACTAAGATTTGGGCAAGCAAAACTCCCCAAAGTAGGAATTTGCCTGAAATGATTCATTACAGAGGACTTCTGTACTGAAAGGTATAATAAAGACTTATTTTTCTTCAGACCCTTTTCTAAGGATGTCAAATCGATTTGCTGTGCTTCAAAAACACTGATGATTTTGTTGCACAATCACCTTGTAAAATATTATAATCCTCATTTTATAAATGTAGAAACTGAGGCAAACAAATAATGTGAGTTTCCTGAGCTCACATGGAATCAGTAGTGGGGCTGGGACTAGAACCTGGATATCCTAAGTCTCAGTCGTATACTTGGAGAACTAGATGAGCATCCATTTTAGACCTACTGGCATAGTCCCTCCATCACATCTTAAATCAAATATTATATTAATGGCTCTCTGCCATGTACATCACCATCGTCATTTTTTTGCCATTGGCACGTGAGTATTCATTTTACCTTTCGTAGCTGTTAATTAGTTTTGCTTATATCTTTCCTTTTCATTTGTTTTGTGCCTTCGGGGAAAAAAAATGTAAAGAAATTACGAAGAGCCAAGAGCGTAAATTATTTTTCATCCTTATGGAATAAAACAGAAATAATGGTGACTAAAAACTTCCATGCAGCAAAATTTGAATCCACTCTCAAAATCTGATTCTGCTTACTTTGTATAAATATGTCATTACAAGTTTATTCCAATAGCTGCAGTGTATCAAATGCTGTCTAGGACAAGGTTTTAATTATTTTAATGGGACTGTTTGGCGCCCTCTGGTGACAGATATGATCCAGGTTATTTCGCATTTTGCCCACAGGTTGTGACCTAATACCTTAGACCAGTGGTTTTTAGACTCGAAGCACCCCTTAATAGACTTGAGGGATCCCTCAGAAAATGCCAGCTCTTCATTTTCCTTCTATTTTTGAATCCAGAAAAATAATAGAGCAGCTCTTCTGTTGCAGATAACACAGAAAACCCGCAACAGGTCAAAAGGTTTTTAACACTACGGATACCTATGTGAAAACTCTAGGTTTATCTTGTGAATCAGGTTTGTACACCTAACAGCACTAACATTTTACAGCATGCCACCTTAACCTTGAAAGGATCACAAGGCACCCCAGTGTGCCACAGCACCCTGGGTGAGAATCACTGTTACTGACCTTTTTCCTTGCTGTCATAATTGGCAGCACTGACAGCAACATACCACTGATTTGACACAGTGATAACTATTATTAAAAAAAACGACCATAGAATTACATCCATTTCAACTGAGCAAGAAATTAGGTTCTATATAAAACTACGGATCTTGTATAGATAAGGTATAGATAAGATGTGTTTCTGTTAAGTGCTGTTTCCAGTGGCTTTTCTCTAAACGCTGTTGTTTCTTTTGTCCTTTCTATTTTCTCCATCTCCTGGCTGCTGTGAGAAGATGTTAGTGTTTTCACTCTGATACTTGCCTATTTGAACCTAATAGCATACACCTCAGAGGAAGCATGACAACAGTTTTGTGATCTTGAGTCATGTGGATCAACATCAGCTGCAGGAGCAGTATTCTCCTCAGCTCTTGGCTTGCAAAATTTCTCTGAAAGGGTTAGTAGGAGATATTATTAATAGGAGATTGGAAAGCTTTTGTGCTTCAAGCAATCTTAAAAGGGACATAATGTATTCAGCGAGAAATGGCAAGGAAATAACAGTCATATACTAAAAAATGGACGCCTTTGAAAAGCATATAACTTTTCCTGTAATGTTCTTGATTGTCTGGTTAGCAGGAACCAGAAGGATTTATTTCTCTGAATGGATTGTCAAATGCCTTAAGAGGCTTTACGGTGGAGGGCTCTTTACCTTATAGAAAAGTGATGGACAGATGACTATGGATATCTTTTTATTGTATATTTTTAGTGTGATGGGTAGGGAGAATGAGTTCCATTGGGTCAAGGCCTATTTTCAATCCTCACCACTTACTTGGATCGATGCTAGTTTTGTCTTGCTCTGGTCATTATGCACTTATACACGGGTACAATTATTCTGTCATTCTACTTGAAATTGTGCATCACCTTACACTGGAGACAGCATCACAGGTGTTAGAGACAGAAAGGCGAGGTTCAAAAGTGTTTGACCTTGGCAAACTCTGCAATGCTTGCACAAAGTGGTAAAATTCCTGTTCATTTCAATGAGAGCAGTATTACACCAATAACAAGTTCTTTTGAAAATCCCACCCCAAGTACCTCAGTTTCACTCCATCTCCTGCCCCTTTACGAAGATTTTTCCAAATTTCCTGATGTGCTTCTGCCATTTCTGAATCTTATTCTTGCCCATAAATTGGCTAGAGACTGACCAGTGATATGAGCAATGATTTTCAAGTCTCTGCATGATGGAACTGGAGATGGAAATTTTTCAAAGGAGCTTTGCTCCCCACAATATTTACCTCTATTGGGAAAACTTGGAACAATGACACTCCTCCAGTGACAGTGCTGGGACAGTCTGGTGAGACTGACTTTTGCTCATGCACTTCTCTGTACCTCTGTTCTGTACCTCTAGAATAGAGGGAAGTCCAAGATCATGGGCTGAATGCAAAGCCATAGGAACAGACCTAGTTGCAGCACCAGCAAAGCATTCCTGTTGCTAACATAAGGACTGAGAAGCAGGGTATACCAGGACAATTTTGATTTAAAAAAGCAGTTGATTCTAGAAAAAACTCCAAGCAACCCAGAACCCCCTATCATCCACCCCCTTCTCTTTGGTTGTTTTTTCCTGAGAGAAAGGTAGTCCAGAGTAGGCAAGATATTGACTTACTGAGAACTACAAAAATTGCTCCGGCTCCTTCCCTTAGACCATGCTAATTGTTTAACTGTTTTATCCCCACCACAGAGCTGACTGTATTTTAGTGGTGTTGTAATTTCTCTGTGTGTGTAGTTTATAAAGTGTTGGGGATCCTTTCATAAGAAAAGCTCCATATAAGTAAGTAGGTATTACACATCACTAGTATTCACAGCTCTTCTTTTTAGCACATGTGGAATCTCGGTGTCATGAAGCCCTAAAGAGGAAACTTAAAGTGATGTTCACAGTTCCCCAGATAAAAGCTAGAACATGGCTTTTTATACTGTGACATTTCAGTACAACCTGCTAGGAGCTGCCAGCATCTGTTTTGCATAAGGAAAAAAAAAACACAAGACTAACACATAGCTGCTTCAGGCAGGTTAAATTAATCTCAGAGACGCAAAACCAACTGATTCCAACTCTGTCAGCTCAGGGATCAAACACCCTGTAAGCAGTGTTTTTGCTTTATTTGCCAGACTGTGTGTCATATCAGATTTCTACCATGTTCTTTACTAATGTCATCAAATCTCAAGCGATTTTTGCTTACTGTCCAAGTGTTACCACGAGTCTTCACTGAAACACATCCAGGGTGTCCTCTCTGTGCTCCGCACAGCATTTGGTATGGAGTTATTGATACCATTTGCCAATAGCTGGGCCCTTGCTCCACATGACTAGCTGAGCTGCTTCTTTCACTTCAAGCACTGCAGCTGGGATAAGCATTACAAAAAAAAAGTGAGCTGTATCCCCAGACCGCTAGGACACTACAAAGTCAATTGGTTTTGCTATAGTCTGCTAATCTCACTTTGGCTTTTCATCTGAAATACCAAAAGGAATTTTTACAGGCCCTACGTGCCCCTCAGTGGTAGATCTGTGTTCCTCTTATGATATAGGACACTGCTGTAAAAGGCTGCTGGTGGAATCCCAGCATTCATATCCTCCTGACAATGTCTTCTCTGTTATCTATAAAGCTGCAAAACCAAGTGAGAACGGCTTTGTACAATCATTCAGAGGTAGCCATGCGGGCGGGTTTGCTGCTGAAGTTGTGGGTGGCTAGTCAGGAGAATCAGTCTCTTATAAGACAGCTCATGGATATATGCTCTGCCCAGAGGCTGGACCATCTGTTGTGTGTCCTTTCCATCTCCCAACAGAGCATCCGGATTATGAATACACGTGGTTTTGAGTAGGGGTGAGTCTCTCAGGAGATTTATACCGGTTTCTCTGGCGGCTGCTTGGTTGGACTTGGGAGCCCTGGT